TCTCTCTCTCTCTCTCTCTCTCTCTCTCTCTCTCTCTCTCTCTCTCTCTCTCTCTCTCTCTCTCTCCCCCTAACGGGCAGGAGCGGCGGGCGCCAGGTTGAAACGGCGGCTTTGAAATTGCTCGGGCCTGTGCGAAACCCGCCACCTCAAAAACCTGCAGTGTCTTGTGTCTGGACCTCTAGGCCATGTCCGGTGGGGTGAAAGGACACTTAAAAATCACCCAGTTATTTTTCGAGGGGCGGCTAGGACCCGACAAACGTCCTGGGCCGCCCCATTTTTCTTTTTGATTTTTGCCCCAGGGGCCTCCATCCAGACATGGGGACTGGACACCGGACTGTCTGGAACCCGGTCCAGACGTCCGGGCGGTTACCATGGCAGAGAAGGAGAAGCGGACAACAAACGAGGGGCTGTGACAAATTGTTTCGCCGGAGTTCAGTCTGTGACAGTCCTTCATTTCTTGTGCTTTCCTCTCTTTCTGCGATCGGTTCATCAGGCAGTTCTCTATGACGGTAGATATTGTCACACATCAATCAACTAAAAGCGCACACTTCGGGAAAAGTTGTCGAAAACAAACGAAAAAAAAATGATGACAACTTCAAGCGCACTGAAACCGTCCTTTTGCCTTTTCCTGTGCAGCTCTTTCTTTTCTTTCCTCACTTTGGCTTTTTTTTTTAACTTCTGGCGGTTTCTCTTTTATTGTTTCTTCTTTTAGCTCCCCCTTTACTGTCCCTCTCACGTACAAGGCTTGCCACATTGATGAAGTTGACCATAACTTTCCTGCATACCCGTGTGCCGTAACGACCCACTTCTATGCTGTGAAAAAACGCCGGAGTGAAGAGAGAGGCCATACACAGAGAGAAAAGATGGAAAGAAGGCAAAGCAAAGGAAGACAAAGGGAAAGTAAGTAGTGTGGAAGATGAAAGCACAGGAAAGGACAAGAGAAGGTTCAGGCGTCAGTCTGTTCTTGAGGACAGGGAGGACATGCCCTGTAAGGGTGAGGTGGATGATGACATGGAGGATGTAGCTGAGAATTCTGAGGACAACAATTGCCTGAGATCCTCCCTAATCACTTGGTCTCTCTGCAACTAATGCTTCTCTGCACATTCTCTACCCTCCGCAGTATGCAATGCCTTGCAATCGCCTGTCAGCTTGATGCGATTCTTCCCTGTCTGGAGACGGAGAATGGTAAGTACTAAGTATACTAAGGAAGGAGGCTTTACGATTGAGCTCCTACAGCTAGCGTTGAGAGACTGCCAACTTGACCTATATGCTATGCTCAGGCAGCTGTGTGGTTTCGTCCTCCATACCACATCTGCATTGCACACGGATCTGGCTATTACATGGGCCATTGCACACCTCCATGCCTCAGACCACGCAGAGGAAGCTGCTGCAGTGGGGCTACAAATAGAAAAACTCCAGTTGTGAAAACTGTAGTAGTGAAAACTGCAGCAATGAGAAGTTCACCAGTGGAAACTGATGCAGTAAAAACTGCATCAGTAGCAGATGAGCAAGGAGGGGGCGGATGAGAGTTTTGTGAGGGTCTTAAGTGGATGATACATCGACCATGACCATCACAGTATGCGCCGGGACCACTGAGAGAGATGTGTCACATGTGTAGAGATAACGGTGTTGGCACAGACACATGTAGCACTTCCAGCCCTTAGCAAGGGTTGATGGGGGATTGCCCACGAGAGCGCATGCGCCGAGCCCACAATTTGGAAGTCGTGCTGACTGTTACAGATTTGCTCAAATCTGGTGAATTGCCAGGCGAACACACAGCCGGTTGATGGGAAGGGATGTCGGAGGTTGCACTCAGATAACAAACTGCAGGGAAGTCCTAGGCAGCCACTTTATCAAAGACACGCATGTGAAGCAAGCCATCAGAGTGGACCCTTAGTTTCATACCTAAAAAGGTATAGGAGCCATCAAACGCTCCAGTTTCCTTCCACGCAAGGCCGCAGTGTTCTGGTAGAGGTGATAATTGCTCCCATGAAAGAACATTGTCAATAAGGCAGTATGTGACAGCACATATTGCCGAGTGGCTTAAAGATCATGCTGGTCATCAACAAAGCGCTCTTCATCTCAATATAGCGTTGGATTAGAAATTTTTGAGCCTAAGGGAAGGGCATCACTTGCAGCCCCAAAGGAAAACGTAGCTCCAAGACAGAAAGACTAATGACTATAGCCCTGACACATGGTACTGCAATGCTGTTTTCAAGGGGTGCTGGACCCGGTTTCCAGCAGGTGCCGCTCAGATGGAGCACGCAAATAGACAAGGCCTCAATCCCGGCGGTTCTCTTACCACCGCTAGGATAGTGGACTTGCGAAAGGGCTTTTTTTTTTTNTTTTTTTTTTTTTAAACAAAAAAAAACAGGTCCTTATGGCCCTGGCTCCATTTCCATTCAGGGGAGCATCAGTCCGGTTCCTACTCCACCGGCAAGTCAGGAAAAATAATTACAACATAGGATACCCTCACGCTTCCTTCCGTCTGCCCGAAGGAACCCTGATCAGCATTGATTGCCCCAACCTCGTGGAGGATTGACTGTCAGAGCTTGCCCTGCTTCCACCTTTCCTCTCAGGATTACTATAAGAACCTCTCAAATAAAAAAAAAAAAGAAAGAAAGGGCTGTTCTTTAAAAAAAAAAAAAAAAAAAAAAAAAAAAAAAAAAAAAAAAAAAGAAGCCAGGATTAATTTTCGTTGAAAAACCGACCTGTTCTCCAAGTGTGTTATTTCCAGTGTACAGATAAGTATTATGTACGATAAAAGCGAAGATGTTGGAGAATCTGAGAAACAAAATGTCAAGTGTGGAGTTTACTTTTTTGTAGGCCTTTGGATTTACAGTAACAAGAAAACCGGAAGGGTTTACAACTTTACAATCATCTTGGACGTTTTCTACGAAACATCGGAATCTGAATAATCGGTTATGAATTATCACAGAAGGTAAACCCCCCTACTAAATCACAGATGGTATCTGGCTTGAAAAGCTTTTGAAGCTTCGAGACGTGATAGTCAAAGGAGAATTCGAATGGGAAGTAAGCATGGGCTTCACCAACAACTTTTGCCACATTATTCAGAATGCGGTCATGAGGGAGGTTGGTGTACATTGTGGTAAAACAACAGTGTGAGGAGAAAGGCGATGAAGGAAGGATGCATTGTTTTTTAAGGTCGATCACCACTTCATCAACACTCTGAGCAATCCATCACCCTCGAACACCAACGCGTTGATAGAGATCCTTATCACAAAGAGTGGATATCACTCCTTGCAAAGTTGTGTTGAGATACAAAGAGGTAATCGCCGTACTAGCTAATGGAGTGTGAGGAGGTCGTTCACGAATGACATGAACTGTTGGACAAAGGCGAACATGTGAGGGAGTAGAGATGGCTCCAAGAATGCCACGAAGAGTTGGAGGGGAACGTCCTAGAGGTAAGGAGGTGTATCGGTATGGTTGTAACGGTGTAACCCCAATGGTGATACCATGTTGCATGGCTGCCAAGGACATCAGCAACGGATCCAAGAGGGCGGTCATAAGAGGAGGTATCCAAATGGGTAGGGAGATGAAACAGATACCAATTCTTGCAACAAATGCCAAATTGCCGATTTCTGCAATGTTTTTTTCCACAGGAACAATGGCAAAATGCTGTTGAAGATGGCACAAGGAGGCATGTGTAGAACGAAGTGAATGCGGCTGGCTCACACGACAAGAGGACAAAGATGCATGGGATTGAAAATGTGTGAGGATTGCAGAGTGCCAGCTGTTCAATTTTTGTGTTTTTTTTTTTTTTATCTTTACACACACACACAGAGACAGGCCCTTCTATTCTGGGGGCACCGGTCCGGTTACTTATGCCCGGCAAGCATGATCAGAAACCAAAAGGTGCTCATGATACCATGGATGTCATGGCGAGTGGGAGCAGTTTTCACAGTAGCGGCAGGCGACCGGGAGCCTCCCAGTGATACCCTGCCATCGCCTTCCCTGCTGCTAGCCGTTCCCCTTAACACCCTTCCCCCATGCTTCAATCCTCACCCTGCAGCCCCGTAAACGTCCCCTTCCACACACCCCGACATCCTGCAAATGCTCATTTTATTCACTCTGTGTCCATAACGACCAAACTATTTACATCCTATTCCAAGTACAATCAATTGTCTGTCAAACTTTTTGTAATGCTCTGCAATCTTTCGCCGTATGGATTTCCGGATATTTCAACAACTTCATGCATGGGTCTTTCGTAGACACCCTATCTGCATCCCCTGTACTATTTGTCCACAGGTGAGCGCCTTATTATATG